TATTTTAGAAAAAATATAGTATTTTTTATCTCTAAATTTTTAATAACTCTTCTTTTATCTAAAATCTAAATTATATAAAAAGAGAGTTACTTAAAAATTACTTAAAAATTTTATACAAATTTATTTTCGCTAAGATCTTCTTTAAAAAATATATATACAATAATTATTTTAGAGAATATATAATTACCTTAGAGAATGTATAATTATTTTATATATATATATAGAATTAATACTTTATATAATTATTTTATAGAATATAGAATTATTTAAATCATTTTATTTAACAATGATTTAAAAATAATCATTTTTAAATAATTGTCACATAAAAAGATTTAAAAACTAGCGAAAAAAGATTAATATTACACAAATAAAAAATAATATTTACCGCCAGGTTGCTCCATCAGTGCCCGATGTCTCTCCCAGACCTCCACCTCCTCTCAGAATATGCACAGGACACTCACGTAAAACACTCGCGAATACTAATCGCGCGCGGACTATAACTTGAGTCCAATAACTAGAACGGCACTCGCGAAACGCGCGACGCGACGAACCGGCTGCGGTTCGTTCATTTTCAAGTAAATCGACGACGTTAGCTTCCCCGTTGGATTTTTAGACGAAGAAAATGAATTTACTCAATATCTAAAAATTTATCTAGATATATACATTCAGACATATCCGAAAATTTTTAGATATTTGAGAAAAATCATTTTTTTCGTGTAAAATATCCTCTGGGTACTGAACCCCCTCACCACGTCAAGGTGTACCCGTGAGAGGGAAGATAATCTGAAAAATGTAATAAATAGCTATATTACTATGCTATTATTGCAATCGGTTAACTTTTAGAAACGAATATCACGTCTGCAATCCGTTATCATTGCGAAAAAGTCAAAGCAAATAAAAGGGCTGAATCTTTTATTTATTCATAGATAATGTCTGTAAGATATGATTAGAATCTATAAAATAGGCTAGAGATTAATAAAAGGAAGATGTGTTTCTTTTATTAATTGTTTCAAAATTACGGTTAATTTTTTAACGGATCGTAACGAAAGATGCACAAAAACAAAAATTAATTAAATTATTAAACTGTATTAATTATATTGAAAGCAGGAATTTCGATTTTTTTGCATAAGAGTATTCATATCAACGTTGCTTTTCTATGACTCGTGTGATACCGTTCATACAAACAAGTAGCCGTGCATACTGCTCCTTTTCACATTTCTTTTTGAAACATATAATAATCGCAAAAAGTGCTAGGTATAATAAAATGTTA